TGTACTAGCGAACAAACCTCCAACAACTCATTTGAAAGATAACAGGGGAATTCGAAACAAGTTAGTACTTCTATTGGAAATGCAAGCACGTATAACTGCAAAAATAGTTTAAGGATATCCAGCATAACGCGGTGTACGTACATTGCTCCAGTCAGAATTTAAATTTGGAGATAATTGATGCCGCTAACTTTTGTGTGGAATTACAAAAATGTCCACGCCACGGTGCAAGACTCTTATGATCTTTTAGAAAATAGTATCAAACGCTGTCAAAATTTACTGGCGCATCAGACTAAAAACTAAATCCGACTTAATGGCTCAGTAGGGTAAATTTAATATCTGAAAATAAATTTGGTTTTTTCGTTTTTTTCATTGATTTTTAAAATGAATTTATGTTTTTTATTATTAAAAAAATTATAAATGGATTATATTTTTATTAAATTGTTTAATACAAATTGAAACCAAAAATTATTAACAGAAATAACGCTGGAACATTGTCAGCCGCAGCCTCTTTTACTCAGTCAGTATGTGTACATGTGAGTATATGTGAGTTTAAGATTTACGTAACTTGTGCTATTTATTTTATACGTTGTTAGACGTAAAGATCACTGCTGGGCTCGTAGCCGGTGACTCCCACATGCTCTCTATAAAAAAGTGATAATTTTATATGATTCTGCGTTTTCGTTATCTGACTGACAGAGGGGCATAGCTTTTTCGGCTCGGGTCTTGATGCTGGGTGGCTGTGTGTAACAAAACTAATATACATACATATGTATGTATCCTATACTCTTCGAAAATCGGATATAACAATCTAGATTATATATGGGAATTTCTCTGGGAAGGCTCAATGAGAGCAAAAAATTATATGTCAATAAAAAACCATTTCCATATAATATGGTCGCGACTATTATCTAAATTTATTGAAATTTAACTTACCCAATTGTCATTGTCTGGTTTTACTAGCCTGATATTCCCCATCAAATTCCTCAAAATAGCCAGTGGAGCAAATTAACGTAATTCCAAGTTTGTTTGCTATTTGCATTGCCCAGTGCATATAAATATTGTAACCGATTATACTTACACACGGCAGCGGCCGTTCTTTCGCCTCTTTATAACTCCTTCTTCATTTACTACTGCAGCTGCAGCATCTATACCATTCTCTCGCATTCTCTCTCTCTCTCTCTATCTATCGCTCGTGCTCGGCTCAGCAGCAGCCCGAGCTTCTATCGCTTCTTTCGTTCTCTCTATCGCTTGCATTAGGGCACGGGCAATTAGGTCAGCCTGCCCTTTTTCAGTCTTTTAATTGATCGTCATCATTATCGCACTCACGTTCTACCGTCTTGATCTATCACTCACTTCTCTCGCATATTGAACAGACCCTGCGTCTTCAATTCATCGCTTTGATTAGATCAGCCGGTACATCTCGCCTTTACTTTCGCTACACCTACACACCCCATATTTCGCCTACTTAACAGCTAGTGAAAACTCTCGCTAGCTCAACAGTCATCTAATTTCTATAACTTTGATTTGAAAAGATATTTAAACAAGCAAAACTTCAGTAGAAAGTTCATCACAATACTTTTTGGAATTTTTATAGTATACCCGTACTCAAAAAGAGTTAAGGGGTATATTGTATTTGTGGTAAAAGTGGATGTCTGTCTGTCCGTCTATCTGTCTGCCCGTCTTGATGAGCGCCTAATTCTCAGACACTATAAGAGCTAGAGCAACGAAATTTTATATCCAGACTGCTGTGGTATCACACTGCTACAAGTGTATTTCGAAATTTCGCCCCACCTTCTCCGCCACCGCAAAGGACGAAAATCTGTGGCAGGCACATGATACGATACGATTTAAAGATACGATAAAACTAAAACAGCATCGTAGAGAATGACCATATCTACCAGATTGCCGAATCTGAATCAGAGCGGATCATAATTATAGCCAGAAGGAAGAAATTAATTTTCAGTTGCTTCCCCCGCCCCCTCCAGCAAGAGAAACGCTACTTATTCTCATTCTCTTTCTTGCTCGCACACTCTGCCGCGTTCAGTGCGCAAGCAACCCCTAGCGAAGTAGATGTAGAATATAAATGGTACATCTATAATCTACATGTTAGATGTAAAATATACATTGTAGATGTAGATGTAGATAGCAGATGTAGCAAAAAAACGTAAAATGTAAAATTTTTTTTTAATTCTAAAATTTAAAAAAATTATATGCTCTAAAATGTATATACGGACTGAGTACGGGTACAAGTAGAGTCGCGTCCCCGAAAGCGACTCACAATTCAATTCAATTCTGATCCAACTTTTTGCAGAGAAGGCGAAAGGTCCGTCCGGGCCCGGCTAGGGCATCCTTAGAAATGGCGGCTGCCAAGTCCCTGAGCTCTCCGTTAACGACTGGTCTAGTTTTTATACCCAGCCAGGCTGACTCTCTGATCGTTATGCATAGCTCTTCGTTGAATTCGGCTCTTTACCCTATCCTCTATGCTATGACTATGCTATGCTATGCTTTGATATGACCATCTTAGTGGTCAGTATATAGCTGAAAAGAAACTCACTCCGTTTATTGATGTCAGTGCTTCCCCACTGACAGTAGTTTGTGTTGGCGTCGCATCCCAGAATTTGGCCAATATCCTTTGCCTCACAGTCTGCGATGACCGCCCATAGGGTCGCGTATGTAAGGAGTCAAGTTGGTCGTGACCCATGTATGTGGAGCAGATCGTCAATGAGCTATTCTTGACTTCGAGGCTCAGACCGGAGACCCTATTTTCGAGGATCCCTGTCTGAATTGGTACTTTGTCGGGTCTAACCTTCTATAGGTGGAGCAGCAGGGCAGGTGGTGGAGGATTATCCTCCATTATTGCATTGTCGGCGTCACTCTAGGGAGACTCCAGCTCTTCCCCGACATCGATCAACCTGAAAACCCTAGCTAGGTCGCTCTCATCGAACATATAGCCGTCCAGGATGTCATCAGACACCACAAGCGCCACATCCACCACCGTAGTGTTGCTTTCCGACTTTGAGACCTCCGGCAGCTCCAAGTCTGGCTTGACCTTCGCTTGCCTGCCTTTGGTGTCGGATGGGTCCACCACTTTGGGCGTTTTCTCCAGGAGTTCAAGCGACTCCTAATTCAGGTTTTCCGCCGGTTTCACTGAGACTCACGCCCCGGCCCTCGGTCTGCTATGATGTCTCCTATTTAACGGCCTCCATAATGCCTTCTGTGTAGACCTTCTTGAGCGCCTCCAGCGCCTTCATGTAAAAGGGCCGCCAAGCGAGTATCTTGGCAGGCGATGACTTTCATCGTGCCTTGATGCCCCCCGCGTCCTCACATTTTCGCATTTGCGCTATGTTCCGCAAGCTCCTCAAGGAATCTGTCTCGGAGCTCTGCATCGACCATTTATCATTTATCCCGATGGACATTAGCATTTTTGGCGCCACTGTCTTGGGCCTTGCCACCTTCGCAAACGATATTTTTGCGGGGTGGGTTTTCGCCCGCTTGGCTTGCTGATCTTGGCGCCCTTTCCGGCTTTGGTTCGCTGGCCCTGTGATACAGTACCGCAACCTGCCGGTGTTGGTTGGGGTTCCCAATGCGATTATCACCCGCGATTTCGTTCTGCTTGGCAGTCACACCGATAACCGGTTAGCCCTCGGTGCCCCCGACATGGATTGGCACAATTGGCTTATCGGACCCCTACCCACAGCGGCGTCTGCCTGAATACGGTGGATTGACTGAGCCTTCTTCCCCGTAACATGTAACATGCTGCCAAACTTTACACAAAGCTACCGCGTACACTAACTTTGAGAGCGCACAATCAAATCTATCAGGGGTGCCACATAAATCTCTAGAGATTTTGACTCTAGAGATTTGTCAAATCAACCGAAAAATCCGTGGGTGCCTCAGGAAATCTAGAGATTTCATTTCTTTCTTTATTTTATTGTTTTTCATTAGGGATCTGAGAAGGATTGTTTTGTATAAAATTACCCAAAACAACTTATACATTTGACCACTCTTCGCTCATAATCTTTGAGCATTTTCTGAACAACAAAATTTAAATTTTTTTGCCCGGTCAATTAAAGTGTTGCATGACAACCCTGACAAAGTTTTTTTTGCGGTTGTCTGTGACTGGCCTGGCAAACGTCAATTCTTTGCATAATAAATGAACGTCACGTCAACTACTTGCATTCTAAACTGAACAAATTTCAGTTTGTTTATTAGAAAAATGCCAATCGCCGGACTAATAGCAAGTGATCTTCTTAGAAGAAAGAAAATACCAGAAGAACGAATAGAGCTCAGGATGTTAAGAATAAAGTCAGACCCGTTGTCTACTTCTGACTCCAGGTTGGTTTTTGGGTTTGAGGGGCCCAATTTTAGATCCGCCCCTTAGCGCAACAAGTTTTCGCGATGAAATTGCCAATAGCATAAACAGATGGTGATATGTAAAACCAAAATGATTAAGCTCTTATTTAAATGTAAAATTTATAAAACTTTTTATATTTCTTCTAGGATGCACATTAGGCTGGGCCAAAATTTGAGCAAAAAAATTTTTTTTTTTTAATTTTTAGTTTAATGTTTGGGGGAAAAAACCACGGAAAAAAATAAAAATTGTTGAGTAAATATACATTAAAAAAAATTGAATTCGGCGGTTTTTTCAAATAATATTGAAACTTAGAAACTAGTTCATATTGATAATAAGGTATTTTTATTTTTTTTTTTTAGTTACTGTTAAAAAATTAACGATTGGTGAAAATCAAGAAGTTTAGCTGAGGTTGATATATTTAGTTAACTAGTTCGCAAAAACTTGTGTAGGTTTTTTACTGCCAATAACTGATTAATGACGATATGAATGGTATCAATATATATGCAATAGATTTCACCAATTATCCAACTCATTCAGCAAAAAATTTGTTTTTAAATTTCTTGATTAAAATTTTTTTTTAATTCGGTAGCAATCTATAAAAATTAAAAAAAAATATATAAATAAAAACATGTAAATTACTATTAAATCCAAGGTAAAAAAAACTAGGGGGTGTCCCGTTTGAATTTCGAAAAAAAATTTTTTGGCCCAGCCTAATGCACATGCGTTCACCCATGGCCATTGAATCATTTGCCGACTAGATGGTGGCATTCAATGACCGAATCCCCCCGGATATCTCCTTCATGGTAACATTCTCGTCTTCATTAGAGATGCTAATGACGGCTTCTCCTTCTTGCTACTGGCTCCAGCCACAATTTTTCCAGCTCTGCTGACACCATCCACACTGTCCATTTCCATGTTGAGCTTAACTTTTCTCGCTGCGATTTCTGAAAAATCGCTCTTTGGCTTATATTAAAGTTTAAAATGCACATAATTACCGTCTTCAGCAGCATCCTCGACAGCTCTGGTGTTCTGTGCTTTCCCGTATAATTTATAATCAATTAAAATCAAATAACCACAAAATATTACTTACATTTTCGTTTTCAGCTTTATTCGACCTATTTTTCTTTTTGACATTGACGTTAACACACGATAGCACACTTTGCCAACGAATATACAAATTTGGAGCGGCAGAGTCTTCATTAATTACGCAATTATTTTGCCACGGCTGGAAATTCAAATGATGTAAACTTAAGTTATTTTTTGTATCTCTAATTTAAAACCATTAAATGCATAATATCATTCGAATTTAGCACTCCGAAAAAAATTAAATTGTCAAAAGAACTAGGTGGCCAGATTTAAATTTGAGTTGGTTTTGGACGTCGACACCGAATGGCAATTCTACTAGAGATTTCGTAAAATGTAAATAGAGAGACTAAACCAAGTGAATTCTTAAAGTATTCTAATGCAGATATATCACAAATTTAATAAACTTTCCAAAACTGTAACACTTTCTTTGCGTAAAGTGGGTTTGAGCAGTGAATTTAACCAAATCTCTAGCCATAATACTAGAGATTTAAAAACCAATGGAGACAGTATGCTGTTGCACTTAGCAAACCAACTCAGTTGGAATTCGGTCGGTTTGACAGTCTGTGGCACCCCTGTATAAGACCAAGAGCAACAAAATTTGGTTTCCAGACTCATGTGATATCATACTGCTACAAGTGTATTTCCAAATTTCGCCCGCCCCCTTCCGCCACCACAAAGGACGAAAATCTGTGGCAGGCACAATTTTAAAGATGCGATAAAACTAAAAACGCAGTATCGTAGAGAATGCCCATATCTACCAGATAGCGGAACCTGAATTACATCAGATCATAATTAAAGCCAGATTAAAGAAATTCATCTTCAGTTGCTTTCCCCGCCTACTTCAGCAAGAGACCTGCTATCCATTCTATTTCTTGCTCGCACACTCTGCCGCGTTATGTATGCGAGCACCCTCTAGCGGAGGAGATGTAGGAGATAACATATATAGCAAAAAAATTTAAAATGTAAATTTTTTTTAAATTCTAAAATTTTAAAAATCATAAGCTCAAAAATGTATATACTGACTGAGTACGGGTATAAGTAGAGTTGCGTCCCCAGAAGCGACTAACACGTTCATTTTCTTTTTTTTGTATTGTCTAGATGTTGATATACAATGACGGCAACATCAAGTGGCCCATGTGACACCAAACCGAAGCCTGTTACTCGTGGAACCCAGGCAGAAACGCAGACCCTCCTCCCGCCCATCCGACCGAGGGGTGCTGCCGCATGACGGGTGTTACCGAACCGATCGCGAACATGCTGGAAAGATAGGGGTTAGACTAATATTCGAGTAAAATTTGATTTAAACAGAACTAAATGAGCTAAACATTAAAAGATCCTAATTACGGGAAAGGTAATTTAGTTTTAGTGATTTAAGAAAAGAAACGGAATTAGTGGTGGATATTATAACGTAGAGCGAATTATAATCCGAGTATAAAACCCTGAACGGTTCATGCAAGGAATAATTTAATCTAAAAAGTGGAAGGTACAAAGGAATAATGTTTCTACTAGATATAATAGGAATCGTTAAGCTTATGCGGATCTTCAAGTCAGGGCTATCTTCGTCACCCTTAATCAGGCTGTACATAAAAATTTTCTACGCTTAACTAAAGTTGGAAGGTTTATTAAAAGCAATCTACGAGGGTAAGATGCCAGTCTCACACCTGCATCCCAGTTAAGGCCACGCAGAGCAAAAAGTAAAAAGTTTTTCTGGACTGATTCTATACGGTCCTGGTGTACTTTGTACTGGGGGCACCATACACAAGAGCCGTACTCTAAAATCGGACGAACAAGCGAGATATAGAGAGTCTTTGTTCATAGGGGTCGTCAAATTCCTTTGACCACCTCTTTATAGACCCAAGCACGCCCATGGCCTTATTTACCATGGTATAAATGTGTTCAGAAAACATTAACTTGTGGTCTAGTTTAACACCAGATCATCAACAAAGGTACTTCTCTCAAGAGAACCACCGCAGAGGCTATAAGGACCCAACAAGTGGCTGGACCGACGAAATGTCATTACTATGCATTTCGAGGCATTAAGGTGTAACATATTTGCACAACACCATGACTGAAAGTTATTGAGATCGGATTGCAAGCAAGAGTGAAATGTCTTTATTTCTGAAGAGAAGGGGGCCTATATGGCTACCCTGTGGTACTTCAGAAGTAACCTTGACAGGTGAAGAGAAGGAGTTAAACATCCATCTCAAAAGATTCGGCGGTGTAACGAACCATGGTTCCCCATGGTTCGTCACAACACAGGAACACCTGTCTTTAAATATCTCTACATGTATAACCGCATAAATGAACACTAAGTAAAACCTCTTTAAATATCTCTACATGTATAACCGTATAAATAAACGCTAAGTAAAAATCTCAAATTTCCCTAAAGTTACATTCCTTTCCCACGGTACCGGTGCATATCGATCACCCTACCGGGGACATTGGACACCTATTGGGAGGCGATTGCTTAGGTAACTCTCGATTACCGAGCAAAACCCCCCACATGCGCAAGCCAGTCAGCAGTCTCCAACTTTCCTTATTGGGAATATTGGACACTGACTGCAGGGCAAATGATTAGGTAACCTTCTGTTACCGATCAGCCCGTCTGCACGCGCAGACTATAACTCGGCCATAGATATTTATGTAAGAACCCTTCCCACGGTCTGGAGTAGAAATAAGATATCTATAAGACATTCATGGAAGGCCGGCCGATCTATAAAAAGGCAGTCCACCAGCCATCGTGGGAGGCAGTCCACCAGCCATCGTAGGGCGGCAGTCGAATCAAACTACCATACGCGTCGTAGCACAATTAAAACATAACATAACCGGGTAGAATAATCATACGGAAGAATACGGAAGAATAAAGAAACACATTAAAATTAAAAGAACCAAAAAGTGTTGTGATTTCTATTTCAGTTTCTGGCAAAGTTCCTGGTTTTCCCGATAAAGTCCTCGTGAATTAGAAATAACTTGTAATTCAGGACCCTGGACAGGCTGATGCATACCTCAGCCTGAAATAGGACATTACAAGTGGCGCCCGAGCAGGGACTTTAAAGGATTTTTCGTGGAAACTTCAAGAAAACCGAAATCAGGGACTTCGTGGATTAAAGACCCACCCCAAATATACGCAGTGCCGATCCTAAAAGTGCCGTTTAACAGTGACCCATTGCCAAGAATCAACAGAAAATAAACATGGAACATCACGACGATGAACAACCAGAGGAGGCATACCCTGCGGGACACTTTTCCAATCCAGGGGTCAGGACCGGCTGGATCCACAAACTCCGTCGGGACGAACTAGAAGTCCTCGCGGAAGAATTCGGATTCGGCAGCGAAGGAACGGTCGATGAACGCCGAAGGAAATTTGCCGCTCTAGTCGCTGGGCCACTCGCGCAAGAAGCCTGGGTCCGCCTAGGAGAGTTCGAGAGGCACTATGCCAAACCAGCCTCACGCTCTCGCTCCAAGTCACCACTGCCCACTACTCCTGGACCATCCGACACTCGCCAAATGGATCCTAAGACCGGATTACGAGTCCCCGCAGCCACCGAATACCGCACTCCTGCAGCCCCGTTTCCAAGGCCCCTAGCTACAGAGACCCACCCAGCACCCGTACCGAGGGTCTTGCCAGCGATCGACCGAAGGGCACCACTACAACCACGCTGCACCAATGGCGGAACGCATCCAGAAGTGGGGAATCCAGTTTGACGGCCAAGATGACCCTCTATCATTCATCGAACTGCTCGAAGAACGCGCGCTCTCGTATGGGGTGGACACAAACCATCTGCCGCGGGCCATGGCCGAACTTCTCACAGACCGTGCCAGTCGTTGGTTCCGCACCAGCCGCCTACAAAGTTCCTCATGGGAAAATTTCCGCCAGGAATTCTTAACGTTCTTCTTGCCACCACGGTATTTTGAACAATTGGAAGACCGGATCCGAGCCCGCAAGCAAGTGGCTGGGGAACTGTTCAAAGATTTCCGCATCGAGATACGTCTACTTATGCACCACGCTGGGTACGACGCAACCAAGGAGCTAACCAGGATCTACGACAACGCCCTCCCAGCCTACCAGATGTACGTGCGCCGCCACGAACTGCAGGACTTGTCACAGCTAACACTGCTGGCCACGGAGTTTGAGAGTATTCAAGAGCGGACCATCCCGAGCACTCTCGCACCGCCACGACACACGCCCAGATACGCACGGCCTGCTACAGATCAGAGGAGCGGCGACTCCAATCGGACACCATTCCGGAAGCCTCATTGGGACTCGGCAGACTCACCAAGGAGACAGCCATCCAACCCAACCAGTACGGCAAAACCCGAGGAGGCACATCGCATGATCACGACCCCCGTCGCCAACCCACACGCAGCCTGTCGCCGGTGTGGTGAAGCAGGGCATGCGGCATATGAATGCCAAAATCCTTCGATCCTATTCTGCTGGGAATGTGGCAAGCGCGGCACCCGGACCATCGATTGCTGTCGCCAGAACACGTCGGGAAACGACTCGCGTCCTCGACTGACACGGGATCAGCCGGGAACGACGTCTGCCCCGACCCACGAACAAAAACCCCGCTACACATGAACGAGAACCGGATAGTGGCAATGGTAACCATAGGAGGACAGGCAACGGAAGCCACCGTCGACACAGGGGCATCCCGAAGCTTTATCAGTGCAAACCTCGCCCGACAACTAGACAACAACACCAACCTACAAGATGCATGCGTCCGCATACGCCTGGCCGACGGCTCGGTCAGAGAGATCACCCAGATTATACTGGCGCACATCAGTCTGGATCAAAGAGAAGTTCAAATACCCCTCCTTGTCCTACCAAACATGTTGGATCAAGTTATCGTCGGCATGGACTTCCTATGCGCCATTGAAACAACGATCCAGTGCGGTACCACACTTCTACAATTACGAGATCAGTGCCACACACCACATATCCACACCGTTCCGACCAACAGAGTACAAGGCAACGAACCCCGACACCAGAAACTGAAGCCAACGGCGGCCGTCATACGTCCGCAACCTATCCCAACAATTTCGGCACCCAGCCACGCCAACATGACACCCATACAAACCTCAGCGAACACACGACCACGACCTACCCCAACGAACAAAACGACCCAGATCGCCACGAAGAACACGACACCCAGCCCAGCCCCAGCAGAGACAAAGCGCCGGC